CAATGTAAATATGGTATGTTTATTGCACATTTTAAAACAAACTACTTTATTTCACAGGATGACATAAATGTACCAATTAAATGAAAATGACTTTTTAAAAAAATATTCTTCCTCAGAGTCGTCTGGATGTCATTGTATCACATTTATTTGGATGTACATCAACAAAAACTCTCTTACATTGGAAACAGGTAAAAATTCTGAAATGTGAAACTGAAAATGTGAATTTTACTCACTTGGAATAGGAAATGCCCTCTTTGATCTCTTTTTTCATAATAAATGTTTTTTTCCCCAAATAAAATAAAAATATAAATTTCTCATTAATTGCAAAACTAATTTTTGCTCATTCTCTCCATTAGCCTTCCTGAATATATTTATTTATGCTGTTATTTATAGAGCCTACACCCAAAAGGACTAGGACAGTTGGCAGGACAAACAACAATTAAAAACTATCAGCTAATTTAATCTAATCCCTGGGACAGTCCAAGAATTTGCAAGCATTTAAATGCTCCCTATCTTATGGAACAGGGTATTCTGAAGGGCAGGGTCCTAATTGAGAAAACATGTGGGCAAACCTCCATTGTCCCCCACTGAGTAGGGACGCTTCTTCTCCAAGGGTTCACATGAATTTGGAGTTGGCAAATCAGCTGGCAAAGTAGCACCCACAACACAAGTATTACTCCACAAAATGAACAGTATTTACTCTAGTGATTAAACAAGCTGCTATATTTTGAATCAGTTGAAACTTTTCAGTTATCTTCAAAGGCAAAGTAAATTCCATAGTCTGTCAGGTTCCAAGCGTCAGTCCCCAAAATCAGGAAAGACACATGTTGATTCTTCTTTCCATACCAAAGAACCCTACTTACTATCTGCATCTAGCATATACTCTGAAAAGTATTAGGGGGGGACTTTTTCACCCTTCTTCCCTCTCAGAAAATATCTGGAGCAGGCTGCTACTTATTCTTCTGGAATGCACTCCCTCTCTCCTCGGAATCCAGCTTACTGTATGCCACCCCATCAAGGCATCATTATTACCAGTAAATCTGAGTTCATCTATTGGCACACCAGACAAAGCTGGGCAACAGTCCTCTGGTAATTGCTCCACTTATTATTTGTGATAGAACATTATCCAGATTTCCAGAAGGGAGGGAGTGCATTTCAGATGAGCAAAAGACAGAACAGGTTGCGAGGGAGAAAGACAATCATTTATAGCTACAAAGCTAAAATTGGCTGCATTGTGACAAATTTAAGAAAATCGTGTCCTTGAGAAATGAGATATTAGTAGTGTTAAGTCCTGGGAATAAT